TATGGCTATATCTACTTAATGTCGCATAAATCTGAATCCTTTGAAAAATTCAAAGAATTTCAGAAAGAGGTTGAAAATCAACTTGGCAAGAAAATTAAAGCACTTCGATCGGATCGGGGTGGCGAATATTTGAGCCATGAATTCGACGATCACTTGAAAGAATGTGGCATTCTTTTAGAGTTGACACCTCCCGGAACTCCTCAATGGAACGGAGTGTCCGAAAGGAGGAATCGGACCTTGTTAGACATGGTTCGGTCAATGATGGGTCTTAGTGAACTCCCTATCTCGTTCTGGGGACATGCGCTACAAACAGCAGCACTAACACTAAATAGAGCTCCATCAAAAGCTGTTGAAAAGACTCCATATGAAGTTGTCTTTTCTCAAGATTTGGGGATGCGAAGCATATGTCAAACGATTAATTACGGACAAACTTCACCCCAAATCGGATAAGTGTTTCTTTGTGGGATATCCAAAAGAAACCAAAGGGTATTACTTCTACAATAAATCCGAGAACAAAGTATTTGTTGCTCGTGATGGTGTCTTTTTGGAGAAGGATCACCTTTCCAAAATGACAAGTGGGAGGAAAATCGAACTCGACGAAGTTCGAGAGGACGAGCAACAATGTCAACCTGACAAAACTGACAATCTAGATACTTTAGAAGCATTTGGGAAGATTGGTCAGAGTCAAACAGACAATGTAAATGCTCAACCAATTACCCTACGTAGGTCGCAACGGCAAAGATCTCAACCAGACAGATACCTCGGTATTGTCTTAACTAATGATCAGGACATCCTAGTTATGGATGATAATGAGCCAGCGACATACAAACAAGCTATGACGAGCCCCGACTCTGCCAAATGGCAAGATGCCATGAAATCCGAGATGGACTCCATGTCTGAAAATCAAGTCTGGGACTTGGTGAATTTGCCCGAGGGTTATACACCCATTGGTTGCAAATGGATCTTCAAAATGAAGACAGACAAAGATGGAAATGTATCGATATACAAAGCTAGACTGGTGGCAAAAGGTTATAGACAAGTCCACGGGATTGACTATGATGAAACTTTTTCACCAGTTACAATGCTAAAGTCCGTCCGGATTATCCTAGCGATTGCTGCATATTACGATTACGAAATATGGCAAATGGATGTCAAAACCGCCTTCCTTAAATGGAATTTTGGAAGAAACTGTGTACATGACACAGCCAGAAGGTTTTGTCGATCTAGGCAACGCTGGAAAGGTTTGCAAGATGAAGAAGTCCATTTATGGACTAAATCAAGCCAGCAGGAGTTGGAATCTGCGATTTGATGAAGCCATCAGCAAGTTTGGTTTTATCAAGATGAGTCTTGTGTATACAAGAAGGTCAGTGGGAGTGATATTGCATTCCTAGTCCTGTATGTCGATGACATACTCCTCATTGGAAACAACACAAAATTATTGGAGTCCGTAAAGGACTGGTTAAGAAAGTGCTTTTCAATGAAGGACTTAGGAGAGGCACAGTACATATTGGGCATCAAGATCTACCGGGATAGATCGAAGAGGATGATTGGATTAAGCCAGAGTACTTACATTAATAAGGTACTGGCTCGATTCAACATGGAAAATGCCAAAAGAGGGCATTTACCCATGTCCCATGGCATAACTCTCAGCAAGAAACAGTGTCCACAGACACCTGTTGAGCGAGAAAGAATGAATCAGATCCCATATGCTTCGCTAATCGGATCGATCATGTATGCCATGATATGTACAAGGCCGGATGTATCGTATGCCCTGAGTGCAACGAGTCGATACCAATCAAACCCAGGAGAGGCGCATTGGACTGCGGCCAAAAACATCCTTAAGTACTTGAAAAGGAACAAGGATAAATTCCTGGTATATGGAGGTCACAAAGAACTGGTTGTTGAAGGTTACACCGACGCTAGCTTCCAGACTGACAGAGACAACTTCAAGTCACAGTCGGGATATGTATTCTGTCGGAATGGAGGAGCGTTCAGCTAGAAGAGTGCCAAGCAGAGCACTACTGCAGACTCTACAACTGAAGCCGAGTAAGGAAGCTGTTTGGATTCGCAAGTTCATTAGTGAACTTGGTGTTGTACCCTCAATCAAGGGACCGATAGATCTCTATTGTGATAATAATGGAGCTATCGCTCAGGCCAGGGAGCCGAGAGAGCACCAGAAGGTCAAACATGTGCAACGGCGATTTCACATGATAAGGGAATGGAAATCCGAAGGTGAAATCAGAATTTGTAAGATCGGCACGGATGATAATGTAGCCGATCCTTTGACTAAACCTTTGCCTCAAGTGAAACACAACAAACACGTTGAGGCAATGAGAATCAAGCATGTTGGAGACTGGCTTTGATGTTCCTGTACAAGTGTTTTAATTAACTAGGGTTGATTTAATGTAAAACACTGTACTAAAACCATTCATTAATGGAGTAATTAATTTTATGTAATATTATCATTCACTCCATTACTATTTAATTGTGGTTTAGAATTAAATAATGAGTCCATTCGATTTACTGAAATATTCAAAACAGGGTATCAAGACCATGTGTTGGATAAAGAAACACCTGTTAAGTGAACATTGAATATTAAATCGAAAAGTATCCCTAATCGAGGTCATCTAACAGATGGACGATTGATGATCGCAATAGATTAGTGTGTAGTATGATTTACAGCACCGTTTCTTGTGCTGCGAGGACGTGACAGTCATAAATCATTTACACAGGTACAGTTTAGAACTGTACTGGATAAGACCTATGAGAGTACTTTAAGAAAATTTAACTTTTGTCATAAGTACATTTCTCATTATGGCTATCGGAACTTAATTCCTCAGACCATGAGTACTGTGAAGTTTTCTTGTTTGAGTACTAGGCTCTTTGATGTTTCCAAACGTCTGCCGTAACTGGGGATCATAACGGGAACACTCGGGAGTCTATGTCCTCTTAGTAAGAAGAACTTACTATACAAGACTGGGATTGTCCCCCTACTAAAATAGGGAAAATGTTTTGTTGTTTAAAAGGCCGCTCGAAGAGTGAGACTGTAAAATGCATGGCCATGCTCAGATGGATTTTAGAAATCATCTGCTTATTGACAGTCGAGCTCGGAGATCGAGAAACACTTCTGAACGTAATAAGGATGACAAGGAATCTTACCTTATAGTTCACGAAGAAACATTAAGTGACAAAGGAAATGAGCTATACACAATATGCACACTTATCCAGAAGGACAAGTGGGAGATTGAAAGGAATGGTGTCCTTCCAACAAGTGTATTATTCCGATAAAGGGTTCAGAATTATTACAGATCTAATTCTTCAGTAAGGTCAAGTGATCGGAATGCCTAGGTGGAGGCCGCTTCCGATCAGTAATATCAAGGTACAATTGATATTACAGCTTAATCTTAACTGAACCCTTTGGGTCGAACCCAATCGAATCTCCGATCCAAGACGTCGAATTAATCCGGAAGGATTTAATGAGTCGACAGAGTTTTACGAATACAGACGTCGGATATCGAGCCTAGGGCGTCGATACCGAGCGTCGCAAAATCACAAGCGACAAGTATGAGCATAGTCGTAGCTAGGCTAGGCTAGCTCATCACAAGCCTAGGTGCACCATGGTGTGCTAGGCGCGCCATGCGTGCTAGGTGCACTAGGCTGCCCAACGCAGCACCACCTACGTGTGTGCGTGCCTTCGCATGGCACAACAGCACAGCAGCGTGCGTGCATGGATGCTAGGCACTATCGCAGCACTATCGCACCATCGCATGGCTAGGGCAGTGCATGTGTGCGTGTGCTTGTGCCTTAGCATATCGCAGCTCTAGCATGATGCTAGGCGCCATCGCAGCACCCTAGCACCACGCACAGCACCATCGCAGTGCTAGGCGCATGCGTGTGTGCGTGTGTGCCTAGCACCAGCACCAAGCACAGCCATCGCAGTGCTAGGCACTGGAGCATGTGCGTGTGTGTGCCTCGCACCAAGCACAGCCATCGCAGTGCTAGGCACTGGCGCATGTGCGTGTGCGTGTGTGTGCCTCGCACCAAGCACAGCCATCGTAGTGCTAGGCACTAGCGCATGTGCGTGTGCGTGTGTGTGCCTCGTATCAAGCCAAGCATAGCAGTGCTAGGCACTGGCTGATGCGTGTGCGAGGGATGCATGGTGCGCAACATGGATGGTGCGAAGGAAGGGGCCAGCATGCGTGGCTCGCTAGCAGCACGCATGCTGGCTGTGCTAGCGATGGCGCGCGCGAGGAGGAGTGTGCGTGGGCTGCTGGGGCCAGTGCCAGCACTAGGTGCTAGCAGCGCCCAGCGCCAGCACACAAGCACCAACACCAACCCAGCAGCAGCATGCACTGGCTGGCTGGCTGGGTGCTGGGCAGCAAGGGACTGCTAGCTGGCAGCCAGCTAGCCCTCCCCTAACTCGGTTTGTTCAAGGGAGTGGGGACCAAGTCAAGCCCTTGGGGAGCAAGGCAATGGTCCCCCCCATGGGATATGGTCCTCACCTAACCCATTCTCTCCTTTTGCCACTTGTTGGCTTGTGATTGCTTTTGCCTAATTATTTATTTTGGAATTAAATAAATTATTGCAATTGCACATGATCCCACATTGATCATGAAAAGGGGTTTCAAGTCCCCATTCTCTATAAATACCCACTTGGTTGGGATTTTGAGAATACAACCTTGAGTGGAATTAAAAAGGCAACTCTAAGAAAGAGTAAACCTTTGATTCGTAAAACTCATAGTTATTTTGTCCGGGCCTCGACTAACCTTCGAGGCTTAGGACGCTCGGGTCGGGTTCGTGGGTACGAACCGTCGGAGATCTCGTGCTTTCGGGATTTTGAAGTAAGAGCTCTTTGGGAGCGAAGCACACGTCAAAGGTATAATTCTTGTCCTTAATCTTGTACGATTAAGTTTATTATGCTTGTTTAATTGCTTTAATTAAGGGGCGGGTCTTGGTGGGTTTCCTTCCGCGTAGTGCCGGGTCACTACGAAACCCTACAGGTATCCACTTACTGCTTAAAAAACAGTGGAGGAAGAAATTGAGGATGGCGATGAATTCAGACCATTTAATTCAAACTAGAGGTTAACTTCTTCTGATATTTTGATGGAAAGTATGTATCTTCATTTAAAATAACTATTATCCCTTTTTGCTTATATTACCAGGTTAGATAGATTATACTATTAATACTATACATTACAAAATCAAGCTTCTGATGTTGCTACAATACATTGATCCGATGGTAAATATTATTATGAGAATTTAAATCTACTGGTGAACTGCATAAGAGAGCTGATAAAAAGCTACGGGTACAAAGGATAATGATGTAGACGAGTTTCGAGCTCGTATACCACGACGGCTTAATGACTACTAGTTGAGCCGCTGACATATACACATGCCTTTATTTTATCTGTTGGGAGAAGCATTTGGTTCTGATATGATCTTTCAAAAATGTAGGGTTTGCTTTAAATGTTGAAACAAGTTCAGAACTTTTATGTTGCTTTGTTATGCTTGCTGGTCTTTATACTTGTTTATGAAACTTAGAATTGGAAAATAGTTAAGAGCACAAACATGATGTGTGAGGTGTGACGACAACAAAGTTGATACTTTCTCCAGTTATTAATTCAGCCTTTTACTTAGAACTTTTAAGAAGATCTTGAAAATTATTTAAAGATTAATTGGGGTTGTGGTGGTTGATTTTGCAATATAGTGAGTCCCTTTTTCGTGGTCTGATTTTGCAATATAGAGTCCCTAAGATCTCAATGATTTAATTTGAGAGATCATTCTTGTTACTAAATCTAAATGATGAAGGGACTTAGCTGATTTTGAAATGGCATGTTTGATTTGCTAACATTATTGAGGTAACAAACAGGATTTCATTTCTTGTGATCAAATTACAATCTCTCTGATGGATTTAAGATGTCACTCATGATTGGTTCAATGTGTACACAAACCTCAAGCCTTCAAAAATATGAGCTTTGTCCTTTGCCATCCGGTTCTCCATGGTTGACTGATTTCCTTTAAATTTTTATTTTTATTTTTGCTGTGTATGGGTTATGTTGCTGAGGTGGTGAAATGGGGAGGATGGTATAAGCTATTCTATAACATTTGTATGTGGAGTATTTTGACAAATTTTCGGGATTTCTTTCCGGTTTGCTGCTATCACTGTTGTTGCTGTTACTGCTATCCCTGCTGCTGCTGTCCCTGCTTGTTGTCGCTGCTTTTCTTTGCATGCTGATGCTGTCTGCCTGCTGCTGCTGCTGATTCTGGAGGTTTCTGCCCATGCTGCTGTTATTCTTTCTTTTTTTTTTTCTGGCTTGTTGCTGTTTGTAACCTCCAAGTTTGGAGGGGTTTGTATTTTTTTCACGTAGCGTATTTATTTGTGTATGAGGACACGGTGCGGCTGTACTTTATGAGGGCTTGCCCTTTTTTCTTTTAGTAATAATATCCCTTTCTTACCTACCAAAAAAAAAATGATTACCTCCTAAAATGTTGCCTTTGAGATTATTACCTAAAATGATTACCGTTGCCAATTATTTAAAAAAAAAAAACAAAAGGTCAATGGCAACGGTTAACCGTTGCCAATGGGTAAATGGCAACGGTTAACCGTTGCCAATTATTTAAAAAAAAAAATGGTCAATGGCAACGGTTAACCGTTGCCAATTATTTTAAAAAAATGGTCAATGGCAACGGTTAACCGTTGCCAATTGCTTGAGTTGGCAACGGTTAACCGTTGCCAATTGCTTGAGTTGGCAACGGTTTTGAACCGTTGCCAATTATTTTGGGATTTGGCAACCCTCAAATACGCAACGGTTCAATACCGTTGCCTTTGAGAGGGTTTGAACCGTTGCCAATTTGCCCTTTTCGTGTAGTGAATGCATTGCAAAAGCAATACCACCATCATATGGGAGCAATGACGTATGATGGATGGAGGGATACGTGGGTGAGTGAAGGAGTATACCCCACTGCGCTTCTAGGGTCCTCCACAGCGTCGTCTGACTCCACGACCAGTACTTTGGTGATTCGTGCTAGGGATTTCTTTTGCTCTATGCATTCGCGGGACAAGAAGACCGGAAAATGGTCCATCAAGGCTCTGGAAACCAAAGAAATGACAGATAAGCTAGTAAGCAACTATAAACTAGTGAACTAACTTATTCATTTGCATGTATATCACTATATATAAACACTGACTTCATGTTGCCATTTTGTTTTTGCTACAGCTTGAGTACACTGGAGAGCTTGTTAAAGGCAAGCTCGTCCCGACGGTAGAGAAGGACCCCTTCACCTTGGCTATGGGAAAGCCCTACCATCCGGGACGGGTATTAGGTGCTGGGGGGGGGGGGGGGAGCTTGCTAAGATGGGAGAAGGTAATGGGTCCCGAATATACCAAATCTGGAAGATCCCGAGCAAGTGTGAACTCGCCACAGAACTTCGATGCCACAGTGGCTTCAATTAAAGAACAAGTGCGCAATGAGATGCGCGAAGAGTTCAATGCATGGGCGAAGCAATTGAATTTGCCGACCTTGCCCTTTTCCTCGACAACACCGGCCGACTCAAGTAGCCACCCACGAAGAGAAGGAGAACAGGAGGTAAATGATTAGAATTCAACTCTATAAGTTTTGATATGTTGAGTTACGTGGGTACGGTTCTAATTAATGTTTCACTATCAATACACTGTTGCAGATTGGTACTCCTTCACATGCGAACTCAAGGGGGCTTGACACTCCGACACCTCATCATTTTCCTATTCTACAGGTGATTTTGTGCTTACTTGTTTGGATAATGATATTTGTTTTTGGATTGTGTTGTGAAATGGTTAAGTTGGCTGTGAAATGGTCAAGTTCGCTGTGTTATGTTGTTAGTATGCTTTGTTGATGTCATGTGTTGTTCTTGTTTGCTCTTCCTTCTCATTCTCCTCTTCCTTCTCTTTCTCCTTCTCCTTCTCCTTCTCCTTCTCCTCCTCCTCCTCCTTCTCTTTCTTCTCCTTCTCCTTCTCTTTCTCCTTCTCCTTCTCCTTCTCCTCCTCCTCCTTCTCTTTCTTCTCCTTCTCCTTCTCTTTCTCCTTCTCCTTCTCCTCCTCCTCCTTTTCTTTCTTCTCCTTCTCCTTCTCTTTTTCCTTCTCCTTCTCCTTCTCCTTCTCTTTCTCATTGGGAAGCGGAGAAGGTAGGAGAGGCTGCCGGAAAGGCTGCAGCAGCTGTGCAGCCTACAGCTGCTGCCCTTCGCGCTCGGGTGTTTTTTTTTTTTTTTTTTTTTGGACTCGTTTTGGTTTTTTTTTTCTTTTTTCCTATCTTACACCTAAGATACTTAGTTATGAATATTTATGCCTTGAAACGACCTAAAAAAAGCAATTTCACAAGTTTGAGGTTCATTTACAGTATTTACGGCTCGAAATGGCCTCAATCAGTTCTAACTTGCCCATTTTTCATGATTTTAGCTCAATGCTTGATTTAACTCCTATATTACACCTAAGATACTTAGTTATGAATATTTATGCCTTGAAACGACCTAAGAAAAGCAATTTCACAAGTTTGAGGTTCATTTACAGTATTTACGGCTCGAAATGTCCTAAATCAGTTCTAACTTGCCCATTTTTCATGATTTTAGCTCAATGCTTGATTTAACTCCTATATTACACCTAAGATACTTAGTTATGAATATTTATGCCTTAAAACGACCTAAAAAGAAATTTCACAAGTTTGAGGTTCATTTACAGTATTTACGGCTCGAAATGGCCTAAATCAGTTCTAACTTGCCCATTTTTCATGATTTTAGCTCAATGCTTGATTTAACTCCTATCTTACACCTAATATACTTAGTTATGTATATGTAAATGAAGTATCTTCGTAATTGGTGCAGGAAGAGACCCGCTGTGAACTTCTTTACCTGGGCGAATCATATGATGGACCTTTGCATGTTGTTGCCTATGGTAGTGCACAACCGACCGAACAAGGTACGGTCCATCTTCGACCTCTTCTGCCTGAGCATTATTATGTCGGGATCCATTCTGTGGTTCTCGGGTCCGAGGACCTCTTAATACCTGTGCCCGTGGAGGATGATGAGTTCACTACACTCTGGGCAGCAAAAGGTAGTTTTTTGCAATGGCCATCTGCTTGGATACGGTTGATGAACCAGGTAATTAAGATTTAGATTTCACGCTTTAATCCTTTCTTCCCAAGAGTTGGATGGAAATCTTTTCTAACCATTTGTGTGATCATACTTATTAGCCATCGAGGAAAAGCCAAACGCCAAAGAAGAGGGTTGAGGGGCCAAAGAACAGAAGTGAACATGGCTCGGTGAGTGGAAAGGCGTCGATGAAGAGCCCTTCACTAGGTTCAGCTACGCAAGCTACTCCATTAGTTGAAGACACGGTGCTTCAATCACTATCCCAGGAGTTAGCTTATTTGCACAAGCGTGTTTGCGTGTTGCCTAATGACAGCCCCATCCAAATTCAACTTCCTAAGGAAATGTTCCACTACGATGATGATGCAACGGCATGGCTATTCAAAGAAGATGTGAAGGAATTTCTAAGTGGTGCAATGCTTAACATTTCCCTCATTCAAATATCCATGAGGTAATTCAACTGGTACTCAATTTATGTTATTCAGTTTAGTGGTGTTTGTCGTTTGGTTTTCGATTAACATTGTGTTATCATGCATGCAGAGCACTCCAGGAGCAAATATGGGAGCTTGAATCTCCTTGTCAAGTTGGGTGGTTGTGCCCTGAGAAGATGTCCACTTCTAGAATCTTAGGCAACTCCACTGACGTGTTGTACTATGCTGAACGGGGTATCAAGCAATCAGTGAGTGCAGGAGACAAGTTTATATTCGTCCCATACTATGAGGAGTACGTCTGATTATGCTAGTCAAGTTCATTTGTTTTCCCAGTTTATTTGTTGTAACAGGCTAACTATTGATTTGTTTGTCTCGTGTGTAGTTATCATTGGACCCTACTTGTGATTTGTGTTTCCAGTAACACAATCTTCTACTTTGATTCTGCTCGGTTACCTCAAGTAAGAAAGCGCCTCGTGAGGTCCATACTGCAAAAGTAAGCATCTAGTTTGTTTCACTTCTTGTTATTCATTTTCATATCTGAACTCATATGTATTGATTATAAACGTCAAATTTGAACTTATTACTTTGATTTTTTGTAGTACCATGAAGAAGATAAATCCTCGATCTCCTCGAGGTCCTACATGGAAAGCACCCAAGGTAATTCACCCATGATGTTGTGATTTTCTTACTTTACAATGCTTAAGATGTCGCTTATTTGCTATGCATTTTGATTCATGTGCTTTGTTCCTCATGCTAGTGCGCACAACAGGAAAACGGAGTTGACTGTGGCCTATACGTGATGAGATTCATGTATGACATAGTGATGAGTCATTGTACAGACACACGTCAGCTTGAAGAGGTATGCCATTTTGGTTGAAATTGCGTCCCATAACCTCTTACTTGCTCTTTTCTTGTAATCTAAGCATTAGTCACCTATAACTAAGTGATAATGACATGTTTTAACTAGTTATGAGTTCAATAGACAAGAATTGTAGAAAATAGGCATCCTAGTAGCCAAAATGGCCTTACTTGAGCCATTTTGGTTGAAATTGCGTCCCAAAACCTCTTACTTGCTCTTTTCTTGTAATCTCAAGCATTAGCCACATTTAACTAAGTGATAATGACATGTTTTAACTAGTTATGAGTTCAATAGACATGAATTGTAGAAAATAGGCATCCTATTAGCCAAAATGGCCTTACTTGAGCCATTTTGGTTGAAATTGCGTCCCATAACCTCTTACTTGCTCTTTTCTTGTAATCTCAAGAATTTGTCACCTATAATTAAGTGATAATGACATGTTTTAACTAGTTATGAGTTCAATAGACAAGAATTGTAGAAAATAGGCATCATAGTAGCCAAAATGGCCTTACTTGAGCCATTTTGATTGAAATTGCGTCTCAAAACCTCTTACTTACTATTTTCTTGTAATCTCAAGCAGTAGCCACCTATAACTAAGTGATAATGACATTTTTTAACTAGTTATGAGTTCAATAGACATGAATTGTAGAAAATAGGCATCATAGTAGCCAAAATGGCCTTACTTGAGCCATTTTGGTTGAAATTGCGTCCCAAAACCTCTTACTTGCTATTTTCTTGTAATCTCAAGCAGTAGCCACCTATAACTAAGTGATAATGACATTTTTTAACTAGTTATGAGTTCAATAGACATGAATTGTAGAAAATAGGCATCATAGTAGCCAAAATGGCCTTAATTGAGCCATTTTGGTTGAAATTGCGTCCCAAAACCTCTTACTTGCTCTTTTCTTGTAATCTCAAGCATTAGTCAACTATAACTAACCCCAATTATTATTATTTCACATCTACTAACTCACATTTTGTGTATTCTAAGTTTTGCAAGGGGCAAACAGGACTTCCATACACGAGCGAGGAACTCCATGTAATTCGGGAGATGTTGGCGACCT